TTGACTACCGCGCATAACTGCATGCATCGAAGTCGTGCATAATTGCATGCATTGAAGTCGTGCATAATTGCATGCATTGAAATTGTGCATAATTGCATGCATCACTGACATATTATCGAACATATTCGGTGCTTTTATTTTTATCTTTTCAAACTTTTATCAATTTTCCTCTTTTGCATAATGTTTTATTTTTTAAAAGCTAAATAATTTTAACTGTCAATAATTTTACATCTAAGTAAATAAAAAAAAAAAAAGTGCCATAATGGAATTATCTGTTTACAGAAATGTCATCTGAATGCCATTTATTCACTTACATATATATCCCCTCGTTTGACTCATTCACATTTACTTTCAAGCATATCAATCTTGTCATTGTTTGTATAACAAACTTGACACATTATCACAATGTCACATAGTTTTGTTTTATTTGAAAAATTGAATGAAAATGTTTGTTTATTAAATATTCATTTTTAATAAATAATTTTCTATTTCATATATGAATTTATTCTTAATGTTTGAATAGATTTTGAATCCATCGAATTTTTTTTTTATTTTTTTTTTTTGAAAACTGAATTATTAATATGAGTTTTTCATTTCCTGAAAATTATCTTACCACTTTTTCTACCATAAGTTCAATAATATTTCAACAGTTAATCCAATTTGGCTAAAAATTATCACAGTGATGATTTTTGGTCAAAATTGAATTGATGATTTTGATTTTGTTTCTTTTTTTTCTTACAATTACTACTTAGCATTTTAAGAATTGATCGAGAAGAAAATAGTTTTGAAGAATGTAATAATTTGCATATTTTGATTCCACTAAGTCAAATTTTTTCTTTTCTGTAAAATTAATGAAAAAAAATGGTTGAAAATGAAATAAATGATGATATTTTTGGTTAATTTCAAAAAAAAAAGGACGGGAAAAAAAGTTTTGTCATTTTTTTTTTTTAAATTTTACAAGTTATTTACAAAATTTCATTGCGGTATTAGCAAATCTTTTTCTCAATGAATAAATAGATTATATTGAAAAATTCTCAACATGATTACTAATTAAAGATTGAAAGAAATTGGGAACAGAATGATAAATGGTTGGAAGTAAGAAACGATACGATAAGTATTACTTTAAATAGGTATGATAAGAAAATGGAATGATCATTTTGCATTTTTCTTGACGAAAATTAAACAAACAACCAAATTACAGCAATGCTAATTTCATCTAGAATTATAATATTTAAAAATAGATTGTTAAAGAGGACAAATTTTCAATTTTTTAAATTTTCATTTCCTTTTTTTTCGAAGATTCGAAAAGTCTCATGTTAAGTTAAAATTATTAGAATAATGTTTTACATAATAGTAATGCATGCATCACAACTTTTCATTTTAGAAAAATTAGACAATAAAAAATCATTTATCTTTTATTTTATGCCTAAATCAAAATCTTTAAAAAAAAAAAAAGGGAAAGAGTAGCTTATTCAGGATACAGTAAGCATCGGTAATCTATTCTTGGATAAGATTGATAAGGATAAAAGTATATGTTAGGGAAAGAAGAAGCAAATTGAAATGAATGATAGTTCTTAGTTTATCATTTCAAAGGAAGTCAAAATTGCATTTTGAATAGATATGATGAGATGAGGGGCGGAAATGATCATTTCACATTGTTTTCATTTAGCATGCTATGTGATAACTTTGGCGGTATTGTTATCTCAGCTTGAGCTTTTGTTTCCGCTCTAATTTTGTACCAACAAATTGGGTGACAATGCTTGAACAGAAATATGTATATGCTTTCTTCACTGATACTACCAAGTTTGATAGGATGGACAAAAACATATATGGTAACATATCATTATGGCCAAAAACAGGAAATTGAAAGTAATAAGGAACTTGAGCAAAATTTATCAAAAATCTTATCATTTCATTTGATATAATTGAAATGAGACGGAATTAATTAATCAAACCGGATCAGTAAATTTTGTCTTAATACAGAATTACCGACGATTGGCATTACTCATTTAGCTTGTAATGATGAAATAAAATTATGAAAAAAATCGAGAAAATTGTAAAAGAGTTCGATTAATATAAAACTTTTGTGGAATTTAAATAATTTCACAAAGAATGAAGAAAAAAAGTTTGCATAGTGATAAAATGATATTGGCTGAATCATTGCTTATCATTTATGGATTAAATAAATAAAAATTTCAATAAGAGTAGCTTGCATTTGATCGATAAATTGCTGCAATTAAAGAAGATATGATACTGATAATTAAATTGGTTAGAATAAAATTGAAATGTTCGAATTAACGAAAGACCAAGTAAATACACCAAAAATAGATATATAATATATATTTTGAAATTTTGAAACTATAATTTTGCTTAATCATTAGGGTTATAATTGATCATTGATCAATGAATAATTTTTGATATAAGTAAATAATATCTAAATGATACAAAAATAATTTAAAATAAATACAAAATATTTTTAAATTTTATTTCAATTTGTATCCATTCATGTCCTACGGGAAATTTTAACCAACCGCTGTTGCACTAATTACTTATTGTTCTGGAAAATTTTAACCAACCACTATTGTACTAATTAGTTATTGTTTTGGAAAATTTTAACCAACCACTATTGTTATTGTTCTGGAAAATTTTAACCAACCACTATCGTACTAATCAGTTATTGTTGTAGGAAATCTTAACCAATCACTATTTTACTAATCAGTTATTGTTCTAGGAAATTTTAACCAACTACTATTGTATTAATTAGTTATTGTTCTGGAAAATTTTGACTAACCATTACTGCACTAGTTAGTTATTGTTCTGGAAAATTTCAACCAACCACTATTGTTATTGTTCTGGAAAATTTTAACCAACCACTATTGTTATTGTTCTGGAAAACTTTAACCAACCACTATTGTTATTGTTCTAGGAAATTTTAACCAACCACTATTGTTATTGTTCTAGGAAATTTTAACCAACCACTATTGTACTAATTAGTTATTGTCCTAGGAAATTTTAACCAACCACTGTTGTACTAATTAGTTATTGTTCTAGGAAATTTTAACCAACCATTACTGTACTAATTAGTTATTGATTTGAAACTTTGATGCGCTAAAATTGTATCCAATTAATTCAATTACACCACTATATAATAATACAATATATTGAAATATCACGGGAATTTAAATATAATCGTACATAAAAAAACTCTAACAAAACTATCCATCCGATAATTTAGCATAATGCTAATAGGTTGAAATGATAGAATATTTGAGAATATAATTTTACTTTATCATTACAGCTATGATTGATCATTGATTAACCTAAATGATAAGAAAATAAATCCATAAAAAAGTCAATTATTTCATCCTTCTTTGTTATTCTTTTTTTTTTCTATCACAATTTTATGCAAATTTTTTGTATTTTTAATGTCAATGCATTTGTAACATGCAAAATGTTATTTTTAGAAACGATAAACCCATAAGAAGCAGAACTTTTATAACAATGATTTAGATGCAATTTGAGAATATTAGCAATGAATCAGTAAGAAGCTTCAAGAAGATTACAAGATAATACCAGGTGAACTATTAGAAATAAGGTCAAAATCAGAATTTATATATCAAATTCAAAATCTGTTGGTTGAAATTATAAGCTTCATTGAAATGGATGAATGATCTTGTTGAAATTACCATCATTGACTAAGCATAAGCATAACATTCATTCAAAATTCCATCAAAATATTCACTCGGATGATATTCGAATCATTAATTAGTAATAGTTCAAATGTCGCTTAGATTAAATGTTATGATAAATTTTGAAAGTTTCATGAAACAGAATATCGAAATATGCAAATTAACAAATTATTCAAAAATATATCATAAGTTACAAAAGGCTACAAGAATGAAAGAAAAGGCAGTCTGATATGGAGCGCAAAAATTTTCATCATATCGAGAGATTCCGCAATGTGTTCTGAGGTTTCTAATTTGATTAATCATCAGAGCAGCCCACAAATTCACTAATTTGAATGGGATATTCTTGTATCACGCGATATTTTCCTGTATCATAGATCTGAAATAATTAATTTTCAAATTAATGCAATTAAGCAAATTTAGCAATTAAGCAATTAATTAGCACAGATATTTATTTTGTAAATTCTTCTAACAATAGTAAACGTGGGATGCGATAGTGTTCCGGAATTTTAATTCATTCATTTTCTGAATATAAGAGAACTGATCAATAATCTGATACATTGGAAAAGTGATGTAATAAACTTTTACTTATCACTCCTTATCAACAGATGGGAATGATATCGAGAAATATGATAATTATCATTTTTATAATTAGCTTTTATATTCTACCTGAATACTGTTGGAAGCTGTATACAGAATGAACAGTGAGCTATTCTGATATGTTAATCCAATTAGATCACGTGGAAATTGTGGAAAATAATTTGTCGTTAAGCCGGAAAATGTTGCTACATTCCAGTAAGCATCATATGTTGCAAAATTATCTCCCTGAAATTTTTGCTGTTAATTACTCTGATAATTAATCGCTAACTGAGAAGTGAACATTAAATTTCAACTATGGAAATATAACAAATTTCTTGAATGTAAAATTCACATCTCTCATGAATTTATTAACAGTAATTTTTAGAGTTTGAAAAATGAAAATTAAAAAATTACTTCGACAAGAACTTGATTACCATCAATCCATTGAAATCCTGCACGAGGATATACTGGCATTTTTTTTGTTAATGTTTGTGGACTCTTTCGTGCAAGCTACAAAATATGTCACCAATTTGGGTACGAAACAATTCTTAATTTTATCTTTTAAATAAAAATGAACTAAAAGATGACAAAAAATACTACTTAATAATGTAGACAATAATATAATGCTTAATAATGTCACTAACAATATTACTAACATAGAAAATAATAATGTCACTAACAATGTCACTAACATAGAAAATAATGTCACTAACGTAGAAAACTTTATTCTTTCGATTCCAACGATATCGATAGACAGTTTGATGTTCGATAAGTACGGTTACACCGCTTCTACTGTTAGTGTAAGCAACCGTAACGGTACGTGGACCATCCGGAAACATTTCATTAATATGAAATGATGCCTTTTGATGTAAGTTATCATGTCTCCAAAGTTGATAAACACGATCACGAGCAAATACATATGTTCGACCGTTATATGCTAGAAAATGAAAAGATTGAAATTTCAAATTGTAATTAAAATAAACTCGCACATATATGAATAAGAAATTTTGGAATTGTTTGAATTTTTCAATGTCTTTATTTTGAAGTAATCTAATTGCTTTAGAAGTAATTGATTTAATTCTTAAACTAAGTTAAATTGAATTTAATTT